GGGCCTGTCCGCGGGCGCGTCCCGGGCCCGGCCCCGCTCCCTGCGCGGCGCTGAGCTTGCCTGCCTTTGAGCGGCTGTTCGGAAGCTCCTGTCGGTTGTCCCGGTGGCGCGGGTCCGTGTTCTGCTCCCTTCCCCTCCCTCCTGCCTGCGCTCCGCTCCGGGAGCCGCTTCCCGCTCCTGCGGGTAACTCTGACGGCCGAGAGGAACCCAAGAGCTGAGCCCCGGGTCCGGCTTTGAAAAAACAGAAATATTCTATAGCGCGGGCGACTTGAGTTCGCAAACGGAGAGAGCTGGTCGCTTTTCCGTGGAAGTTCGCGTCAGGTGACAGCTCTGCTTCAGGTTGTGTACTTGGAGCTCTTGACCCACTTTGTGTTTAATCTGCTTCGCCGTAGTTACCCCTGGCTGATGGCTTTGCATGTCAGATGCTGCAGGAGTGTTTAATAAGATGTGTCAACTAAACAGCCAAAGAGAAGTGAAACCGCTCTAATTGGGTTGTCCAGACGAGCTCCTTTTCAGGTTGTGTCCCTGTACTTGGACACACTCAAATCCTCAACAGGATGTAAACAGGGAAATTACTGATCTCTCAGCTATTCCCAAAGAACCTTTATAGAGTAAACCCTTTGAACAAAAAGAATGTACAGCAAATACATTTTCAGTAACATGTGCCTGTTTGTGAGATATTTGTTAAAACCTCAACCAGAACAGGCAGAGCTGTGCTGGTTTCCTCCTCCTGACGCCTTTTATGTTTAGACACATATGTTTTATGCTTGACATAAGAGAACCCATCTATGCTTTCAAAAGTGAAAAAGAAATAGCCTCCTGGGCTACACCCACGCACTATTAAGTGTAGTTTTTAAGTTTAGTTTTTACCTTTAACAGAATTTAAGGTTTTATCTAGAAGTGTGTGGAGCTTGTGTGGCCGATGCTGGTGTGGTGTGACAGGTGCTCACACCTCAGTGCTTTGTGTTAGTAGCTTTTTCAACTTGGACTTGTAAGTTTATGCAATCACTCCATGTCTGTGGGGAAAAGGCTGAGGGAATACTCTCCACCGTGAGGGATGAGGAGAAATAGTCCTTGATGCTTTTCTTTGACCCTGGTGGCAGAATTGTGTTTCTTTGGTGCTCTCATACAGGAAAATACTGCTAAGAGAATGTAACTCTTGCCTCTCTTCCCCAAGGAAATGATGGGTTATCTGTGAAGTTTGCTTTGAAACTTAACAAATATTTAGAATTTGCTGTTTTCCAGCACAAGGACTGAAAGCTTTGATATGCTGCCACTTTCCTCAGGAATGATGAGGAATCAGTAAAGGCAATTGCTGTGTCAGTGTTTCTTTAAATAATAGTAGAGGGTTGAATTACCATTTTTCTTCTAGCTCTTGCAAATGAATGGCTTTGCACCTCTGCAGTGTGTATTCCAGGCTCACAGGTGTGGTTTCATTGCTACAGTTAACATTGAAAATGCCAAAAAATAGTTTGAGTGAAGAACCTGAACTTCTTGTTGTTTTTTTGGGATGTCACTAGTTTTTATTTTGCACTTTCTTCAGCTCATTTGAGGTCTTAAAGTACAGCTGCCCGTCATCCCAGCGTGCTTGTTGTGGCTGGTTGGGTGTTTTGGGAAACCAGTTCCTTCAGTCAGTTTGGGTTTCTCTGTGGTTTGATGTGCAGGTTATTTAGAACTGATTTATCTCCACAGTTTCAAAGTGTATTCTGTGTTCAAACCAGAGCTCTTGAGTCTTTCCCAGAAAATCTGAGAAAGATCTGAGTACGTTTTGCCCAGCCTGATGTTGTCTGTGAGCCTGGTGTTGGGCAAAGTATTTTTGTCATTTTGGTGATTTGCTGCAAACTTAGGAAGAATTACTACAGATCCTAAAGCTGCACCCAGAACTGGTGCAGCTGCATTTTACCACTCTTCCTCTCTACCAGGATTTCTAAAGGAAAATAAGCTCTTTGGCAGTTCACCACCAATGGAGAAGGTGCTGTAAAGAACTGAGTTGCAGAAGGGCTTCTTCTCCTGAGGGAGCTTCTCCTCATGGGATGGTTTTTAAGGAGAAGTTGGGAGGTAGAGGCTCATCCTCTGAGGAAAGACTTACAGGTGATGTTAGGAGCTGTTGCTTCATCCTGAGCAGCAGCATCAGAACTGGGATTAGTTGCACTTAAGGTGTTCAAAGCCAGTTTGGACAGGGCCTGAAGCAACCTAGGGTAGTGGAAGTTGCCCCTGTCCATGGCAGGACGTAGAACTGGATGAGCTTTAAGCTCCCTTCCAACCCAAACTGTTCCATGATTCTGTGATATGAATAAATGTTAGTCATTATACCAAGAACTCTGTAGACAAGTACTACTTTCTCCCTCTTGGCTGCTATTTTGGTTTTTTTTCCTTCTTATATAAACTGAACTTCTGCTGGTTTGATTTTGCCTTTCAGCAGAATCTGTAAATCAGAGTGTCTTTTCTTCCATCTCTAAATCTGTTACAAGTGGATAAAAAGACTTAGCAGCTGATTTAATATTCTTCCTGCTAAAATGTTAAGTCAGGTTTTCATTTTTCTTTGTGTATGCCTGCTTGTATGTGGAAAGTTCACAGAATGATAGAATGGTTTGGCTTGGAAGGGACTTTAAAGCTCATCTTGTTCTACCTGCTGTGATGGGCATGGACACCTTCCACTGTCCCAGGGTGCTCCAAGTCTGGCCTGGAACACTTCCAGGGACGGGGCAACCTGTGCCAGGGCCTCCCCACCCTCACAGGGAAGAATTTCTCTGCAATATCCTATCTGTCCCTGCCCTCTGGCAGTGTGCAGCCATTCCCCCTTGTCCTGTCACTCCATCTCTTGTCCAAAGTCCCTCTCCAGCTCTTCTGGAGCCCCTTTGCAGGTGAACACCCCCAGCTCTCCCAGCCTGGCTCCAGAGCAGAGGGGCTCACAGCACCTCACAGCACGTTGGTGGTCTCCTCTGGACTCATTCCAACCATGTACTAGGGAAATGTCTGACCTCTGGAAGAAAATTGAGCTCAAAACCCCTCAGTTGGTTTCCACTAGATTTTCAGCTGGCAGATAGAAGCCTGGCAGTCCTGACTGCAAGCATTCCCTTCCCCCTGAGCTGTGTATGTTTGTCTCCTTTCACAGTTGTGCTTCAGGGATAAATGGCAGCTGATGAACTGTTCTTCCTAATTATTAATGCTTTGAGAGCGAAAGCTGTTCTGGGCGCTTCCAGTCAAAACGCTGTGATTTCCCTTTGGCATTCCAGGTGCCAGTGAAAGCGTGGGGAAGCATATGCTTGAAGCATGCAACAACAACCTGGAGATGGCTGTCACCATGTTCCTGGATGGAGGAGGGATAGCAGAGGAGCCCAGCACCAGCTCCGCGGCGGTGTCTGCTGTCCGCCCGCACCCCGAGTATGTACCCGGGAGCACGGCTGTGCCAACCAGCCTGTCCCACAAATGTCACAGTGCACAGCAGGCAATTGTCACTTTTCACACTGCTTTGATCTTGTTCAGTTGATTGCTCCAGCATTGTTCTGGGTGTTCTGGTTTGTAGACCAGAAGTGAGTCTCTTACACTTCAGAAGTTTTCTGTAGCTTTCGCCTACTGTTTTTTACAAACAAAGCCCAAGTCATTAAAGCAGGGATCCAGTAATAAAAGAGTCTTATTTTTAAATGCTTCAGCAATCTTGTTCTACACTAATTTAGCAGTTAGAAGGTTCTCTTGGTTTGGTTCTTATAAATGAAGCCACCTTACTCCCATTTCATAGATTCATAGAATTTAAGGTTGGAAAAGACCTCTAAGATTGTCAGGTCCACCCATCAACTCAGCACCACCATGTTCACTACTAACCCATGTCCCCAAGTGCCACATCCATGTATTTATTGAACACCTCCAGGGATTGTGACTCCACCACTGCCCTGGGCAGCCCTTTCTGTGAAGAAATTTGCCATAATATCTAACATAAACCTCCCCTGGCACAACTTGAGGCCATTTTGTCTCATCCTGTCTCTTGTTAACTGGGAGAAGAGTCTGACTTGTGAGGGTTTTATTGTGGTGGTTTAACCCAGTTTGGCACTGGAAAGACCGGGCCTTGTACACTGGTATTCAGAGGAATTACCAACTCCAACACCTTCATCAGTCTCTTACATATCAAATGCCTGCAAAGGGAAGAGAATTTCCACTGAAGCATGGCAGAGAGTCTCAGTGCTGCCTATTAATGTGACTGCTTGGGATAAAGGGCATGGTATAAATCACATTCATTAAATACGGTAAATTAAACGTAAGCTTGGCTTTTGTCCTTAGGAAAATCTTCCACTGCAGGAAAAAGATAGCTAACTTACAGAGGAAAATCCTTGCCCCTCATAGTTCTGAAGCACATGTATAAATTAAAAAAATTATTTTAGTGCTAACCTTTATAGCTGATGTGAGGTGCATTCCCAGTTGAACCTTTAACAAAGTTAAAATAGGAATACAGATTAGTGTTCTTATTTCTAGACAACTTCCAGCACATCAGTGACTTCAGATTTTTCTTGGAACACTTTTGTTTTTATACTCAACACCCTCCAGGTGCTGATAGCTCAGTGTTTCTCCTAGGACAAGAGAACAGTAAATGTGCAATTGGAGAGCAACTAGTTACAGAGCAAAGATGTGGAAGTTAAGAGCAAGGTTAGTGCATCCTGCTGACATCCTGGGCTGCTTTTTGGAACCTGCATGATCAAGAGCTGCAAAGTACACACTTCACACCTTGGAAGTCTGGGGGAAGTGGCAGTTCATAGACAGGATGTAGCAGTGGATGAATCCTTCTCCGTGTAGATCTGTGGGCTGGATCACCACACTGTTGTCACAGAGACGCTTGTAACTTTTTTGTGATTTCCTTTCTTCTCCTAATTGTAGTTTTGGATTATTTGTAAGTGTCTGCAAGTATAACTGACTGTGCTGTTGAAATGTGAGAGAGCCCAGTTATGTAAGCCAAGAACTGCTTCAGAAATGGGGCAAAATGGCCATCTTGACCTTGTTTTCCTTCCTCTGGAAAAGAGAGAGGTGGAACTTTCAGTTGGAAGCAAAAAGTCTTCTGACAGACAGAAGCTGGTAATAAGGAAGATAATATTTTTTCTATGTAGCTAACAAGGAAAGTAGGATAGCAAATGGATTATTTAATGTTTTTTGCTAAGTTTTTAGAAACTTCCACGTTCTAACAAAGTTATTCAAGAACAAAATATGTTTAAATAGTAGATTTACAAAGCCTGGGATCAAGTCACTCAGGGGTTTTCATAATGTTCTATCAGAGTTCATCCATGCCAGCTCTCAGTGCACAGGGTACCATGTCCAGCAGCAGTGCCATGAGTGGGAACACATGCTCCCTCAAGTTCCCACTTAATCCCAAACTTCTTCATTCTGTGCAGTGGTACAGCAGTATCTTTAACTGGTTCAAGCTGCAGGAGCCTTGGAGCATAACAAAATGTGGTTTGTACAGTTCTTGGAATATTACTGTCTCTCTGATATTTTCTGTTTTGTTTCTTCTCCTTTGATAGGGATGAAGTACGAGCTCCAATTCCTCAAAAGCAGGAAATCTTAGTAGAGCCTGAGCCCTTGTTTGGAGGTAGGCTTGTGTTCTTATTTTATTTCTGCTCTCTTTACCTTGAGGTGAGCTAAGTGACAAAAATGAATCAAAACTTGTTGAATATGAAGAAATAACACCAGTGGTATTGAAAACCTCACATGTGAGAGATGCTTTATTCCCAGGGGTAATAATTTGCTAAATCTTGTTTCATGAGACTTTGTGAGGTGGCAGGCAGTTAATTAAGTATGCCTCTGTGTTCTGGGGGCCCAGAACTGTGGGGTACTGCTGTGGAAATGTTTGAGGTGCTGGGATGGAAGATGGAGCCTTGGCTGATGAGTGAAAATGAAGAGGACAAATGCCTGTGTTTCAAGGAGATGACTGATCAGAAAGAATGGCTGAAGTGTGTGATTGCTCATACCCATCTCCATTTCTCATGCAGGAATTTAATTTGCTCTTTAAGCTGTGCTTAAATCTATTTTTGTTGTCTGTGTCCTTCTCATGTGGACCAGGTCATTCCTGGGCTGGCCTTTGCCATGTCAGACAGATTGAGAGCTTTGCCCTTTTCACTGAGGAAGGCCGTGCAAGTGGCTCATCACTGCAGTGGTCTCACACCCATGGGAAATGCTCATTTTGATCATTTAGTTCCTGTGTTAGAAAGGAGTAGGAAGCCAAGCTTCAGGTTTACCCCAGAACTGATTTTGTCTTGATTCTGTTTTTCAGCATCAGGATGCAGAAGCTGAGGGGTGGTTCAGAGGGCAGCACACAATGCCAGGCAGTACAGGTGCACACCACTTGCCTTCTTGCTGTACATGCACAGATAGCAATATTAGCTTTTCTAGTTTTAGTCCTTTTATCTTTTTTTTTCCTGTCTGTTCTGGGAGCTGGAAAATTTAGACTCATTTAATATGCTTCAGTCCCCAGTCTCATCAGAAAATGTTTATTCCTTAGACAGAATATGAATCACTGAAATGGCCTAACTTAACTTCTACATACTGATGTGAGATGCATAAAGCACCAGCAATTTGAAATACACACTCAGTTTGCATTTGGGCAAAAAGGGAATGACATACAAAATATCTGCTTTCATTGAAGTGCTTTTGCAGTTCTGTGAGCTTCATTGATAGAATTTCATGACATTCCTCTTGCTTCTGAAAGGCCACTTTGTCAGCAACAGTGAAGCTGGACTTAAAAGGTCTCAACCATAAGATGCAGTGACATGAAAACAAAGATACAATGTTTATTTAATCTTTGCACTTCCCATCAGGCCTGGATTTTGGAAGTGGGGTGTTTAATAGCAGAGAAGGGCAGTTCTGCAGCAGGAAATGTGCATGCAGAGGAAGATGCCCTGCTGATGCCTCTGAAGACAGAGGAGCTCTCTGCACTTTTTCCTGTGGACCAACAGAGTTTTTGACAAAAATCTATTGACTCCTGTGGCTTGTTAGGATTCAGATCTGCTGACCCTAACACTTGGTCTTCTTACACCTGCCTGTTACATGCTGGTATCAGTCACACTGTCACTGACCATCCACTGACCTGGATCAGTGATTCCCTCCTGGCACTGTCTGTTCCACCAATGCCACTTGTGTTTCTGGCACAGAGCAGCCTGACAAAGTAGCTGAACCTGAAGAGATAATTGGTCTCAGCTCTAGGGGAGATGGCAGTTTCTGTTTCAGGGGTCATACTGTGGTGGTTGTATAAGCTCAGGTTTTTTCCAGCTGAGAAGGTGACCCTGTGTATTTGTGCCCTGCTGGATACATGGATCCCATCATTCAGTATAAAGGATCCTCCTGGACTGCTGAGAGCCTCTTCACCTGTGCTGCCTGGCTCGAGCTGAGCCTGGCAAGGACATGCTGTTTTTGCTGAAGTGGTCCTCCAGTTGCTATTCCAGCTGAGTTTAAGTTGTTCTGAGGTTGGCTTGTGCCTAAGCACTCAGGGTGAAGGAGATGTTACCTCCTGGAGTTGAGAGGTGTTATTCCCCAGCATGTCCCTTGTTCAGGCTTGCTTTCTTTTCCATGATAGTCTGTATCATCCCATTTCCACTGGGTATAGGCTGTAATTACTTTAATTTGTTTATTATTTATTATGTCTTGTAGTAACTGGGCTTTGAAAGTTCTGTCTTTCAGTTGATAGGAAAGGAGATAATAGCTGGGATAATCTTGGCAGGCAGTTCTGTTTTCCTTCCAAGTGCAGTGTTTGTGCTGTACCTTAGGACTTCAGTGGAACTTCAGGGTGCTATGTCTGATAGCTGCCTGGGCTGATGTCTCTGTCCAGCTGCAGGTAATCAGTTCTGAAGGTTTCCTTGCAAATAGTAATGCTGGAAAAGTGTGGTTGTTGAGGCCAGACAAGAAATTGGGACAGGGTCAGAGTTTAGAAAAGAGTAGAAATGCATTGTGGAAAAAACAAATGGGCTTCTGTATTAAAAAAATACTTTCTCAAGGGGTTTAATCTTTTGAAGTTTTTCATCCCCTTGAAGACCTTGGGTAAAATCTTGACTGAATCTGTGACAAGGTGATGCTGTGACAGCACTGCCACTCCATGCTGAAGGGTCTTGGTGAGCCCATCAGGAGCTTTAAGCCTCTCTATATTGTTGATACATGTTTTGTTTCTGGGCTAAGGCGTGCTGGAGGGAGGACACATTAGGAAATGGAATTTACAAACTACTTTCTGCTTATTTCCATCCATCTCCCGTCCTTCCCAATGACCTTTACTCCCACACCATCCCTGCTTGAAGTTCCTATTCTGTATTCCTGCATGTGTGATGGAAAGCACTAATATGTATTTATTTTGATAATATACTTTTCAAATGATTCTTTAATTTTTTTTTAAGCTCCTAAAAGACGCAGACCTGCTCGCTCAATATTCGATGGCTTTCGGGATTTTCAGACAGAAACCAGTAAGTGTCTACAGATCAGTAAGCATGATATTTTATTTTGTTACCTTTAATGCATATAAGATGGAGAAATCATTCCTGTTGAAGGCTAGGACAGCTTTCACTCATCGAAACATTTTTAAATTGCCATTTGTGTAGCAGGGTACATTACTAGAAGTACAGAATCACAGAATTAGGATTATCACAGTTTATTCTGTCAGCTTTGGTCTTGCTAACTCAAAAATACCCTTTTTCTGCTCTAGAGGGAACTGAAAAGGGGGAAGAATCCTAACACCCAAATAGAAATTAAATTCATCCACTGGATATTTCTTGGCTAGGCAGTGGATGTTCTGGCACTTGAATTGCATTGGAGTAGTCCTGAGGTGTCTTCCTTAGCCACACACGAGGTTCTCATGGCTGTAATTGCTGTTTGCCCTTGGCTGTTCATGCACAGAATCTCTAGATGCCCAAGCACTGGCTGTTACTTCATCCATGAGGTGTCACAGAATGTGATTCTGTGGCAGCACAACAGCAGGTGCTTCAGATCTGAGTTATGTCTGTCTTACTGGTGTTGGAGTGTTCCTGAGGTGTAACCAAGGAATCAGTAAAGTTGGGAAAGTCTTCTTAGACTGAGCCCAGCTGTTCCCCCAGCATTGCCCCATGTCCCCAAGTGCCAAATCCACACATCTGTTAAATCCCTGCAGGGATGGTGACTCCACTACTGTCCTGGGCAGCAGTGCCAGGGCTGGAAAACCCTTTACGTGAAGAAATTTCCCCTAATAGTCAATCTCAACCTCCCCTGGTGGAACCTGAGGCTGTTTCCTCATCCAGTCACTGGTTACTGGGATCCATGGACCGTGTTCCCATACAGTTAGGGGCTGGCTGCCAAACTGAAAATAGGTGTTGATAGTTACTTTCTTTCCCCTTTTCCAGTAATAATGAACACAAGTATTGAGATCACTGGCAGCTTTGTAAGTGAAAATGCACCATGTACAGAATCAATAACCTTAATTTTTTTCTCTCCATCTTCCAACCTGGTCTAGCAAAGGAGTCCTGGTCTGGCAGGAGGGGGTGGAACTGGCTGATCTTTAGGGTCTCTTCCAAACCAAACCACCCTGTGATTCCACTCTTAAGACATTTAGAGATGCCCAACATGTGACAGATACACTGCAAGAGTTTATGGTGAAACTTCATCATGCTTTTTTGGCAGGACTTTACAGGTGGATGTCACTGTCTGGCTGTCTCTGGAAAAGCAGCCCTGGCCATGAAATTGCAGATTATCTCCTGTCTCCTAGGGCTGCTCCACGTGGATGCTTTATTCCCTGTGTGTCTGCTCAGGCATGATTTTTATGCTTTGGCCCATTGACAGCTCCTTCCACACTGGAAAATTTTTGGCCATGGGATAGTTATTGCCCATTTCAGCTGACCTGGTTCCATAAGATACATCATGTGTCTCCTGTGATTTACCTTTATTGTCCATGGTCATGTCTGAGTAGGAAATGTGTTCTCTATTATTTCAGATGGAATTGATACACTTTAAAAGAAACATCCAAAAAGATTTCTCCATGTAAACTAAATCTGTTTGTTTCTTTCTTTTCTGTGGGATTGCCCCACAGTCAGCTGATGGAAACACTGCAATAGAAATATTCCTTTTAAAAGTTATATTGCTACAATCTAGCTCGGTTTCCTGTTTTGAAAGCATCACTGGGGACAAGTCACAGCTCTTTTTGGCTCCTTTGTTTTCAAATACTCGTATGTGACCCCTCAGGTTTATTAAGATGTTGTTTAAAACTGAAAGCATATGAGAAAGCTGAGGCAGGGTGGTTCTACCCTTACACACCAGCTGATCTTGTTCAGTGGCATCTAACCCTGGGATTCTCCATAAGAGATATCCTGGGATTTGTGCTCACATTCCCCACACTAACTGCCCTAGCCCTGTTGTCCCCAAACCTCCTAAGAGCTTGAGAGAATTTCACCCCAGAAGTTCTGTGTTTGAGTGTTTAGCCAGTAACAAATGCCCCTTGTGAGTATGTTTAGTCTAATCCCACTCCCTTTCCTCTTGGGGCTGTGCAGTCCGGCAGGAGCAGGAGCTCCGGAATGGAGGGGCAGTGGACAAGAAGCTGACGACGCTGGCAGACCTCTTCAGACCTCCCATTGACCTGATGCACAAAGGCAGCTTTGAAACGGTGAGGGCTCACCTTTGGGTGCAGATCCTTGCAGGGTGGCTGGGGAGGGTTTCAGGATGGATCCATGGCTGGGCAATCAGAAGGTTGCAAAAGACTGGGAAGTGATAAATATTTGATGGACTGCGTATGGGAATGTTGGTGATGTATTGAAGGATTTCACTGATGGTGCTGTCACCTGGAATGGACCCATAGGGATCATCGTGTCCACCTCCTGACCATGCAGACCACATTGTTTTATGTTTCAATATCAGTGTGGCAAGTCATATGTGGTGAAAGACTTCAGTGAGCAAGGGAGGCTGCTCAGAATGGGAAAATTGCATCCCTTGAACTGTCTCCATAGAGGATACAGAAAAAGCTGGAGTAACATTGCTTTGCACAGTTGAGGGAGGACTTTGCAAGGGGCTTTGCAAAGTGTGGTTTGCAGCACAACCCTGCTGAGAAGCTCTGGTGGAGTTAACACAGCTGAGTTGCTTCTGATACCTGAGTAAAAGTATTTGAATGTGGTTTTGCCATCAAGCCACACCTTCATCCTCAGTGGAGGTGTTGCTCTTGTATAAAATCACAGTGGTTGTCTTTTACTTCTGGTGGTGCTAGGGAAAGTATCCCAGAGATACAGACAGTCAGCTTTAAACAATCTCAGGTGTCACCTTCCCATGTGAGGATCTGTTCCTTAATTATTATGATGTGGATCAATGACTTAACTAATGATTAGAGAACACGCAGATTGGTATATATTTTTAATTTTTGAGTCCATAATTTCCAGATATTCTTCAGAAATTCCAATTACTACTGAACTTTCTCCTGGTCATCTTGGAATAGATGAGATTGATGATGGTGAAGGTCATTATTTTTACTGCATGAGAATGCAAAGTAATGATTAAATAGTACAATACAGATGTTGGAGAATCAACTGCATAAGTCTGCACAGCTGACTGACTGAACAAAAATAATATTTACCTTGTTTTCACATGTGCCTTGACTGCCATGCACAAGCACTAGAGCACTGCTGGAGAACTTTTGGTGAAACACTGTGTGCCTTTATGGAGTCTCCAGCTCTCATCCATTACCCTCATCGCTCTTTTTATGCTTCCCAAATCACCGGGGATCCATTGCCTGGGCCCCAATTCCTGTGTTCTGAGGGTGCCCTCCACAATCTCCTTAAGAGAATTCCAGCTGTGAAAGGATGCTGGCAGAGAACAGCAGTGCCCACCTGGGGGAGGAATTTGATGCAGAGGAGCAGCGTGAAGCAGTTGGCGATCAGGTGTCCCTGCCTTGTGATCTGTGGTGCAGGGTTTGCTTTAAAAGATGTGTGTCAGGTCCTCCAGCTGATAGTACTTGCTGGGCCTGGGGTCCAGAGCTGTTGGTGAAACCAGCAAATGTGTGGTTAAAGGCACCAGTAAGGGGGATTCACATGGCAACAACCAGTGCTGCTGCCAGAGCAGTCAGTGAGCGCCCTCTGAGCGCTGCTTCGGAGTTTGAGATGGGTGCTCATCTTTCCTTGGGTCTTGCTGGAAACATAAGAAGACTTCAGCAGTGTTGATTGTAGCATCTGTCCCAGTCAAAATTAGTGTCAGAGAGTGAAATAACTGATTGATTGATTGGTTTGTCCTAAGGTCTCTGCATACTTATTCAGTCTTGAAAGGTAATTTAAAAAAGAGGGTGGGCTGGGGTTGGGGAAGGGGTTTGTGTACACTCACATTGCCCTGTTTTGTGCAGTACCTGCACTCTAAAAAGCTGTACACTTTCTGGTGTTGGCACTCACCTTGCTTTGTCCTTGTACAGTTCCTTGTCCTGTGGGATACCTTTCATTTCACACTGATGCTCTTCAGCTTCATGGCAATACAACTCTTCACACATTCTCACTGTGCTGACCATTTCCCCTTGCATTTTACCTTTTCTGACTGCAAACTGCTCTACTGCTTCAGCCTGAGACAGTGTTGGGCCCCAGTGACCACAGCCTTTAAAATTCATCTCTAGCAAGCTGCTGTTGGCTTTTCCCTTCTCTGTATGCTGAGATAAATGAATGTAAACCATAGGATAAACCAGAGATGCTCATCACATTCCAGAGTATCAAAGACTAAATACTGTCATTGCCATGCTTTCGTAGTTAAGCTTTGATCTAAGTGGGGTTTTCTTTCCAGGGCTGGTGTGTGACATGTTCCAGCCTCTGGAGGGGTGTGCAGAAACACTCTGACAGGGTTAAGCCATGTACATTTATCAGAGAATCATTTAGAATTTAGAATTTAGGGCTTTGTTGGCAGGAGTGGTGACATCTGGTCTTAAGTATCTTTGTCACTCATCAGCTGTTACTGCTCTTTGGGTACTTTAAGGTTGTTTTTTGATAGTAAGTACCTGTAATTATCTTTAGTTTCCCCCAAGAAACCTCACTTTTCTTCAGTTACAAGGAAGCTTTGTTACCAGTAAGGCCCAAAAAGTTGTTTCATTTTGACTCAGTAATACTGGCTTTAGGAATAGGTGTGGTTAACTTCATGGCAGAAAAAATTTCAAGAGTTGAATGACATTGGGGGGATTTTTTTACCTGCTATATATGAAAAAGCATTCTGCTTGACATGCAGAATAGCTTATGATCACTGTCCTTGTAAAGTTCAGTGTGTTACTGACTAAACTATAATTCTCCCATTAATGTGGAATATGTTAGGAGTAAATCACTCAAGTAGAATAAATAAATTGTATGGTTTTCTTCTCATCTCAGACTGATTTCAGGAATTGCAATTATTCTCTCTACATGCCTGTGATATGAGAGATGATTGAATTTGGGGGGGGACACACCAAATTGACTTAGTTTGCCCTTCTTGTGGCAGAGATGGTTCTGGTGTGTGCAGTTCTGTGCTTAACACTCAGCAGGGTTTCAGTTAAGTGACTGAATGTTACATTTCAGAGTTTCAAGTCTGTCTATATGATTTTTTTTTTTTTTTCCCATTTAACCATAACCTTTTTTAGCTGCTCCTTGCTTTACAGCTGAGACTGAGGGTTTTTTTGTTTCTACTTAAAAAGCAGCAATAATTTGGAAGCTGATCTGGTCACTGTATTCAGATGGAGCAATTACCTGTGCATAACGTGCTTCTAGCCTGGTTTGGGTCAGCACAGCTGTGGCTCAAGAGTGCCTGGGTGCTGAAAGGATCTATGCCCTGCCCCAGATAGGAAGAAGTGTGGCCCAAATAGGAGATTTCTTGTTTGATAATGTCCTGCTCTGACTCTCTGTCAGCTGTTACCTTCCACACTGAGTCACACACATGTCCAGAGGATCACAAGGTGCTGGCTCAAATTCCTTCTTCTCTCTGTTGCCTTGAAAGGATTGCATTTCAGCAAAACTGAGCCAGCAGGAACCACCCTAACATTTTTAAATCATACATGTTCAGAGAAGTCAAATGAGAGGAAAACTTATTTTTAGTAGTGCAAGAGTTACACAGGGAGATCCAACACTGAGCATAAACCAAGTCTTGTCTCACAGATTGTCTCACCAGGTTGCTGGTTTGCTGCCCTAAGTTGTAATGATGAAATATGTGACTGGGCAGAAAGGGTAAAGGCACAATGAGGACAGATTGGGTTGGTTTGGGTTGGTTTTTGCATCTGGGCTCCACTGGCTGTGCTCTCAAAGAGTGGCTGTCCTGTACTGCCCTGTCTGGGGGCTCTGTGAGTGCCTGGCACTGGCCTTTATGCCTCAAAGGAGGAGGGGAATGGGGGGAGCACTTGATGTTGGATCTAAATCCATCAGGTCCCAGCTTTTGGGGTACACAAGCCAGCTTTTGAGCCTTCCCTTGTTGCCTTATCACTTGTCAAAATGACCATGATATAATAAAATATAATCTCCAAATCCACAGTGCTTCTTCTCCTCACACTCTTGTCCTTCCACCCCCTTGGAAGAACCCCTGGAGCTGTGTAAGAGCTGTGTGTGTGAGATACCAGTTTAACTGTGTCCTTTTAAATGTTAAATCCAAAGTTTGCTTTTAGAAGGAAGTTAAAAATAGTTTCAAAAGCTCTGCCTGTTCTGCAGGTGAAAACTCAGTTTTTCAAATTTTCTTTGTGGAATTTCCTGCTTGCATCCTTCCAAGGCCCTCAGCTTGACAGAGGAGAGGTAGAACCAGAGGTTTTAATGAATATTAAAAGACATACAGAGTGAGGATAGAAGAGTAAGATGCACTTTCCAGCTTTCTAATTACATATTTTTGGGAGTGTTCTTGCAAGTCCTTTAAATAAAAGCATGACAATTATGTTTAAGACCCTTGCCAGTTACTTAGGTGTCACCTTCCCCACTTTTCTCACCTGGTGACCTGAATTCTGGCAGTATAAATTAGTGGTAAGTAGTTAGTGTGAGGCCCCTTGTGGGAACGGGACTATTCATGCTTCTACCTTAATTTTTTTTCCTTTGAGTAATACAAAAGCTGCCTCTGCAGGGCACTTGGCCACACAGACTGACTTAGCAGGCTTAGATTCTTGCCTTGGTGAAGCTGAGTGTGTGGAGTTCACATGTCTATCTGTCACGCAGTGGACAGGCAGACTGTTCCAAACTGCATTGGCTAAAATACATTTCAAAAGTAAAAATTTTGGTTTGGGTAATAAAGTAGTGCCCAAACAGCAAAATCTTGCATAATATCCTGATTCCCCTGATTTTTTTTTTGTCCTTTGAATTCCTTAACAGTAGATTACCAGCAGGATGGTGAGCATAAATTTTAAATTTTTATTTTTTTAAAGCAAAGAGAGTTCCTATGCCAGTTCCAGTCTTTCCAGGTGGTAAGAGCATTCCTGCTGTTGATCTAGCCCTCTTTTTTTCAACAGGTATGACAGTTCAGCGATCAGAATTACATTCTTGATCAAACTCCTACCATTAACTTGCAACCAAGCAATCAGACAGTGCCAGCTTTGTGACTCAAACCAGTAAGATTTCTTCCTGCGCCTTCCTGTCTCCCTCCCCATTTGCAGTCTGGATAAGCAGCATCAAAAAAGGATGCCTAATTCGGCAGTTGGACAGTCACAGAGTAACTCAAAACTTGGAGAGAAAAAGAAAACACACAGAGAAGGGGTCCTGTTGAATCAATGCAAGTCCTCTGTCAATTATGCAGCCTACTTACCTAGATGGTCCACGGGTTTATCTTTAGACTGAGCAGGTCTTTGTTGTCACATCAGTGGGACTGACTACACTTTTCCCTGAGTAAATACTTTATTCAGCATCGCCACGTGTGTCCCCCCTCTGAGTTGCTTTTCCCACCCTGTGCTTGGCTTGTTGAAACCCAGCAGCTCTGTTCATCGATGTGATTCTGTAATTCAACCAGGCTCATTTAAAACAGATCCTTCAGCCCTGCCTTCTGTTGTGTGGGTGCCTTTTCACTAGCTCTGTCCATCCTCCTCACTGTGAAGGGGTTTGGTGGAAGGTCTGGCAGTGGTAGAAGCCATCTCTGATCATTGCTGGCATCGGTGGTGTCTGGCCCTTCAGCCTTATCTAACCAAGCTTTTCCTTCTGCTTCCAGGCCAAGGAGTGTGGTCAGATGCAGAACAAGTGGCTCATGATAAACATTCAAAACGTGCAAGATTTTGCCTGCCAGTGCCTCAACCGTGACGTCTGGAGCAACGAGGCTGTGAAGAACATCATCCGGGACCACTTCATTTTTTGGCAGGTGAGGAATTGCCTGGAGATGGACGTGTGGGTAACTTGGTGCCTTGGTAGATGGGACAGTGGGGGAAAAAAAATAGATTTCTTTGGAAAAGATGGAATTCTCTTGGCAAACCTGCACAAAAGATGTATTTTGTGGAGTGTATGTAGTTTATGGGTGGAGATGTAATTCATGGATATGCATTTGAGGGCATAAACTGCCTTTCACTTGTGCAATCAGGATGTTACCATGTAGTTTCTATGGTACGTGGAGAGCTAGAGGCTTAATTCCAGCTTGTCAGAGTTACTGAGAGCTGTGTGTACCATTTGCAATTTACACTGTAGAAGAGAGAAAAACTGCATTTTCAAGCTACAGCTTGTTTGTGTTCCCTCTCCAGCCACTAATCTGCTCAATTTTGTAGGTGTACCATGACAGCGAGGAAGGACAGCGGTACATACAGTTCTACAAATTAGCAGACTTCCCTTATGTCTCCATCCTGGATCCCAGGACAGGTAAGACAAGTGGCAGCTGGTTTACCTGGAGTTACCCCATGGGAAGGACTGACAGTTGTAGGCTGGAGTACCTTCCACTGCAGTTTGTGTTACATTGGGTTGAATAATCTCTTCAAGACCTGAAGGACTGACTCAGCGTGTTCCCAGAGGAACTAAGGCAATAAAACACCCAAAACTTGCAAAAATTTTATGTATTTGAAGCTTAGAGAGTATTTTGCTTAGAAAGTGAAAATAGTTCCATCTGGTGGAAAAAACTCTGAATTCTTTCTTTTTTTTAAGTCTTTCCAGAGCTTCTTGAAATCATGTGGTGAATAACTACAGTATTTGTAATTGCTGCATGAAATCTGCTTTCTGCTCCTCCCACAGAGCTTTGTGAGGCTCAGCAATGACTTTAAATTGCATCTTAATTTTGAAATACCATTTTGGCTTCGAGTTTTCAGTTTGTTTTGCTTGTTTTTTACCTCAAACTCCTCCCTCTCCCTCCAGCTCTTTCAAAGTTGTTGCTTTTTCTTTTGTATCCACCTGCTTCTTTTATCATCATATAATGCAGCTGCCTGGTTATATAATGTTGATCTGGTCTCCTGTTTCTAAGGACTGAAGTGATAGTGTCTGTGATCAGAGCTAAGACCTCTATGTAGCTGACTTAAACCACACAAAAATTAAAAAACATGTGTTTTTTAATGTTGCAACTGAAGTTAGAATATCCTTCTTAGCACTTCTGGTAACAAATGCTGTTTGCCAAGGGTTAGAATCAATTAAGCAAGATTGGATAAATGCTTCTTCATAAACTTAATGGTTTGGTGTTTATTCATTTGAGGCCAAAGTCACCATTCTGTGCTCACATTTCCATAGATAAAAATAAAAGAATGGAAATAAACTGTGTCTGTATCCCTGTCTGCCCCTTTTCAAGGGAGTGGAAGGAGGAAGCTCCATAATTATCAGGTGGTAGCCTGTGGGGAGATGCAGTTCCTCAAACAGGGACTCTTGCAGCATTGAATTGGAGTATTTGACCACTAAACTGAAGCATTTTGCTGAAATTTTAATTGATGCCACCTTTTGTTCCCTAGGCCAGAAGCTTGTGGAGTGGCACCAGTTAGATGTGACTTCTTTCTTGGACCAAGTGACCGGGTTCCTGAGCGAGCACGGCCAGCTGGATGGCCACTCCAGCAGCCCTCCCCAGAAATGCTCCCGCTCAGTAAGTGTCAGGGTCACTGTTTGTGCTTTTGGCACTTGGGTTGGGTTTAGTAGTTAGAGTGTGAAAGGAATATTGATTACTGCATGCAGAACTCCAAGGAGAAGCCGTTAAGTAGTTACAGCATGCCTAGCTTTCCCTGCTGTGCATTCCCGAAAGATTTAGTGGCTTTCCTTCTGGAAGACTGATGTCCTTTTGGTTTTCAGTACATCTTTGAAGGCAGTTGTGATGTATGTGTTGTCTGCATCCCACAGGAGAGTCTCATCGATGCCAGTGAGGACAGCCAGCTGGAAGCTGCCATCAGAGCCTCGCTGCAGGAGACACATTTTGATTCCTCACAGGCCAAGCAGGAGAGCCGGTCAGACGAGGAGTCGGAGTCGGAGCTTTTTTCTGGAAGCGAAGAGTTTATTTCTGTTTGTGGATCCGAGGAGGAGGAGGAGTCGGAGATTCCAGCCAAGCTGAGGAAGTCTCCACACAAGGACTTGGGGTATAAAAAAGAGGAGAGCCGGAGGCCTCAGCCTGAGCCCTCTGCAAGGACTGAGCCTGGGACAACATCAAACCACAGAGTCCTGCCCTGCATCAATGCGGGAGCGCTGGAGGAGTCACCTGACAAGTCTGAAAGTACGTTCCGGGGCCTGGACGTGAATGGTAAGTGCCTGTTTTTTATGGCTTTTGTTGTGGCTTTTTTGCCTGAAACTGTTCATAGGCTGCCAAGCCTGGTTTCATCCCTTCTTTTAAAAATCCCTTTTGCTTTCCTACCTCCTTGCCAACAGACATGTGAGAGACTCACCAGCAGCACCACTCGGGCACAGCAGTGCCTGTAGAGCCCTCTGGGTCCCTGGGCTCGTATCTTGCCCGGGAGGAAAGTCCACTCTGGTGTAACACAGGTGCAGTGTGCTCTGGACATGCTGCCTGGGGTCACTCACTGCTGCTTTGGAAGGGTCCTGAGCCTGGTGTGAGCACTGTGGTAGAAATTTATCTTGTGTTTGTCTCCAATCCCTCACACTGCTGTGCTGTCCCTCCTAAAATCTACTCAGGAGCTCAACTGAGCTGCCCTGGTGTTAACCTGTGGTAACTTCCTTTGTGTAGGACCAAAGGCACAGCTGATGCTGAGGTATCCAGATGGAAAGAGGGAACAAGTCTCACTGCCTGAACAAGCTAAACTTCTGGTGAGTGGAGTTAATGGGAATCCTTGTCTGAGTAGAGGAAGGATGAAACTGGAGATTTTCTGTGCCTGGAGTGACACTGTTGAAATCGGATCTAGTGGGAGAGGTGTATCCAGGGAGTGCTTGCACTGTGGTCTGTGTCATTCCTCTCTGATAGCTACTGGCTCTGTGTGTCTCCACTGCAGCTTGGGTTTTGTGCACACTCCAGTGTCTTCCTCAATCCCCACACTGCTCATTTCCATTATAAAATCACTCTAAATGGCTTTTGCCTTAATTGTTAATTGCTGTAAAATGCTTTCAGCTTTCTCATTTCTGGGGCTTTGTTTCTAAAAGTAGTTGGTTCCCATGGTAAAATCAAAGTCAAAACTCTTCATTCTCATTCTCCATCTCTCCCATCATATTTCTACCCTCCCTTCTGGATGTGGATGTTGGAGCAGACTTTGGAGGAAGTTCTCCCAAAACAAATTTATTACAGTATTATTTAATTACTGTGCCTCAGGTGTGCATGTCAGCTGTGCTTTGGGCTCCTTACCTTGGAGAAGTCCATGTGAATGGCATTTCCATCAAAATTTTGCAGGTGCTTACCTGCAGAGTGTAAAGGGGTTACTGTGCTCCTGTTTGCCATAAGTTTTCAGGACATGGTGGCCAGTTAAGCTCATTTAAATGTTATCAATCTAACAACTGGAATCACAGGGAAGACAAAAACACACCTCATCAGAAGGATATTGTGTAGATTTGGGAGAAAAGTGTCCTGTGTTACAGAAAATGGGGCTATTGCCTGGCCAGCAGCTCTAGGAATGTACAGTATCCTCAGCACATGTTCTCATCCTTGACTCTCCTGATTTAAAATAACTGGAAAAAAAATCTTGAGTGCTTTTTCAATGCAGCTTGTTAAGTAAATTTGCATGTATTATTAAACATGTGGCAGTTTTGAATACTGAAGCAATTCATTTAGGCAATGAGATAGAAAAGGTAATATTGAAATATCCCTGATAATCCTGACTTTTGGTTTGGCTTTTTTTATGGACTGTGGAAGTTGAAAGAATTTTATGTCAGCATATGATTTTCCTTCTGCTCTGCAGTCAGCAGAGGAATTTAGCTGAGTCAAAGTTTGTGGGTAAAGACATCTTTTGGTTGCAGAGCTGAGCAAGCAGTGTTTGTGCTCGTCTCATATGATATTCTGGAGCCTTTCAGTCAGATCCAGATTGAGTCTCAGGTGTTTCTTTGTGAGCATCATTTCCATACTGATTTCTTTCAGCCTTTAGTTGCTTCCATTTTAAAGCTGGCCAGAACTAGCAAAAGAAATTGCTTAAGGAGACAGTTGCACTTCAGGAGTTTTAACTGATGATACTCCCCAACACTGCTTTTAAAAATGTTGTATTTTTAGTCATTGTGTTATTATTGATCAAGCACTGTCTTTACACACATTATTTCCAAGAGATGCTTATGCTTCCAATAGTATTATGATGCCATTTCTTCCCCTCAAGCAAAAAAAAAAGAAAAACCAAAAAAAAACCAAAAAGAAAGAAGGCAACACTGCCTCACTGCCTTTTTATAGAAGCAGTTGCTCATTGTGTGCAAATTAAGTTGACTTTACTCTGTTCAGCAGCTCAGCCCACATTCTGAATACCTCTGGTTTGCTAAGTGTTTCAGGTGTGCAGGGAAGACTAGCCTGTGAAGGGCCAGGGAGGGATGTGGGCAGGAAACCTGACAGGATGTTTAAATTCAGTGGTTTCTAAAGGAATTTTGATAATCTTTGTTGCCTGAAAAGGAAATCTTCCCATTCCTTGCATTCCCCATCTGTCACAGGCACTGTGACCTGCAGAGCCTTTGCAATCCAGGTAAAGGAGGACGTTGGGGCAGTCTCCTCATGCCAAAGGGGTGTAGATTTTGATAAATTTGGAAAGAAATTCCCTGCTGGCACTTGCCTGGTTGTTCTGCACCCATGAAACCTTGGAAAAGCACAGGTTGAAAAGAATCCCTGGAGATCACCTGCATCTGCTCAAAGCAGGCCTGTAGCTGAGCTTGTCCAGAGCCCTTTCAAGCTGAGTGAGGCTAGAAGTTTGGTGCCTCAGTCCCCTCCATCACAGAATCACAGGGTGGCTCAGGGTGAAAGTGGCCTTAAAACCCATCCCATTCTATCCCCTACCATGGCAGGGACACCTCTACTAGCCCAGGTTGCTCCAAGCCACATCCAAACTGGCCTTGGACACTTCCAGGGATGGTGCAGCTTCTCTGGGCAGCTGTGCCAGAAGGGTGCTGTGGGCTGCTGTGATTTACTGGCATGAGTTGCCCACCAAAACAATGTGAACAGTATTGATAGGACTCCCTGATTTGTTCACACTTTTTGTTACTTGTTACTTTATCTTTTCTTCATTTCTTACAAAAGCTACAATTGCTCCTGCCTACATCTTGCTCTGTTACCTTCTTTTCTTCTGCCAGTCCCCACTTCTCTGCCCCTCTCTGTTTGTGCTTTAGGTTCCCAGCTTCCCTGGTGAACTTGGGAAATCTCTCTCAGCACAGCACAGACATGGACTCTTCCTGACATGTTTCTTGGGATGTGAGCCCCTCATCCCAATGCTCTGCATCCTGCCCCAGTTGCTTCTGTAGGCAGAGAAGCCAGTGAATTGAAAAGATCTTTAGAAATCCGAAATCAAACAACCCCAAAATCTCCTGCTTCCTGAAGGCAAGAAAAAAAAAATTAATAAAATTTCTGCATTTATTTTGGTCAATGCCACCTCACCAAAATGCTTCTTTGGTGGTTTTTAGCTTTAGGGTAAGGACACTATCTGATAAACAAATCAAGAGGCTTCTACTTTGGGTTATTTAAGGCTTTTTTTTCAGATTCTATTTGACTGTGACTTGAATGTGTGGTGTGGAATTGAACTCTCTTGCATTAATGCACTAATATCTATAGTTTTATGTATAGTTTACCTTGTGTGTAAAGAATCCGGTAAGGGATCATTGGTAATTAGTTTTTGTGATTAATCAACATTCTGACAGTGGTTTGCCTTTCTTTTTCCCCAGGCTCTCGTGAAACACGTCCAGTCCAAAGGATACCCCAACGAACGTTTTGAACTGCTCACCAACTTCCCTCGCAGGAAACTCTCCCACCTGGACTATGAGATCACGTTACAGGAGGCAGGCCTGTGTCCTCAAGAGACTGTCTTTGTGCAGGAAAGGAATTAGCACTGTGGCCTGAGTTCTCCCAGCCTTCCTCCCTCTCCTCTTTGCCTGGGACAAGAGTCGTTAAATATGCAGTTAAGGGTCGTGGGATTGCAGTGCTGGAATCAGGCAGCTGGCTGGCCCTTCCTTCTCCTTCCTCCTCTCTCTCCCTCCCTTCTCACACTCTAGTGACCAAATGAGAATGCTCAGAGTTTTATTTTCTTCCTCAGCTGCAGAGAGCATTGGGAAGAATACCTTTCCTGTGCTTTCCTGGAATAAAGTAAAACAGTGATGTGTGTATCCAGCATGCTGGAGCTTGGAGTGGCCATAATACACAAACCTTTCTCGCTGCTATTCTTAAATCTGGTTTGTTTAATTTATTTTTGAAAAGATTGTGTGATAAGGCACAGAAGCATCTCTGTAAGGACTGACATAACCTTCAGGACAGTCTTTGCTTTGTTTGGGCTCCCCTACACGAAAGGTCTCCATTAACCTTCCAGCCTTTTCTTATGCAACACTCTGGTTTTGGAAAGGAGTTGGGTTGAGCTGTGGTAAAATACTCTGGCCCACCTAACTCAAAGGCTTCTAGTTTGGCCTGCATGTTTTCCTCCTGCTTTAAATTGCCAGTGGACATAGTAAAAAAACCAACCACCCCCCCAGAAATCCAGCTGTGCTCCGTATGGGATTGACTGCTTGGCCCAGAGGGAAAGCTGTGAGTCCAGTGCTGGAGCAGACCCAGCTCCTTTGTTTGTGGGAGTGGGTGGGTTATCCATGTTCTCTTCCCAGCATCCTCAAAGTGTCTCCTTACTTGCTCTCAGGATTTTGCAAATGACAAGGGTACTGTAAAGGTTTTGGATTCTCTGAGAACACCTGCCACAGAGACTTGACTGTCAGTTGGCTTTTTTCCTTGGCACAGTGGTTGGTTATGGGGGTTCTACAGCAGGCTTTCCTTTCAGCTCTGGAAGGTGGCACCACAAGTCAGTGCCCTGATTTTCCTCCAGTGTCTTCTCTAGACATGGAGCTGTTGGTCAGTTGGTGTTTCAGCAGATGTTCCAGTGGGACAGCAATTAACTGGCACAGCCCTCATCACAGTGTGGTGGATTTGTGATTTGAGTATTTACAACTAAAAACTCAGTTTAACACGGTTTTCAATTGCTGAGGAGAAAGGCATGTGGGACCTGGCATAACTGCTGACTTTTTCTGCCTCTCTCAGATGATTGTCCTTGTTAAAGACTTCAGTAGTCAGAAATTTACATATTCCAATTTTTCAAGATATTTTGCCTTTGATTTCATACTAGCATCTGTATTTAGGGATCTTTAAATGCAAGAGATTACAGAAAATGTCTGGTGTCCCCCATGAACCCACGAAAACTTCAGCTCACAGCTGTCTCCTGCTCCTAATTGAGGTTTGACATGTAATCATGCAATTGTATAAATTGATTTCCCTTTTTGCTGCAGGATGTAGTGTCAGGAAAGCAGAGTCTCATCTCAGTTTCCTGCTCAGTGGTTGATGTGACACCAGATGTCATCTTTGGTTTGTAAAGAACCCCAGGTGTGGAGGCTGCTCCCAGCATGGGGAAGTGAGGGGGGTCTTGTGTTTGGCCTGTGAAGCAGCAGTGGCACCTCTAGACTGAAGGATCCTTTAATTCCTGGATATCCAGATCCCTGACTTGCATTTCCATGTAGAACTAAAGCTTCATAAAGCAGCTCCAGCTGTCTGGTTGGAATAACAAGTCCCAGGTGTGGTTTATTGGTGCCTTCCTTCCCCTGCCCCTCCAAGGCCTGCTCCTGTGTATGGGGCTGGGCAAGGAGACCCAGAATTGCTCAGACAGGGGAAAGGAGATAGGGAAGTTGAACATCTACACTAAAAATGGCATTTTCTTGTGGTTTATAGGAGTTTGTTCTGTTCCAGGAAACTGATCCTGGGTTGAGTTTTTCTGTGTGTTTTTTTCCTATTACCTTTCTTTTGCTTTGCTTTAAGAGCAAGGAACAGAAAAAAATTTAAGGAATAGGTATCCCTGCAGTTGGCTCTCATCTTTGTTCATTCCCCCCTCTCTCTCCCTCCCAGCCCAAGCCCAGTGGCATAGATCAGCTGTGCTGTGGGGGCTAAAATCTGATGAGAAGCTGCACCAACCAGGATACAACCTCTTCAGTTCTTCATCCCTTTGGAGAAATGTTCTGCTGGCCTGAGGAATGTGGTTGGGAACATAAATCACATCCTGCCTGGGACAGCTCGTGGCAGTGAAGGTGATGGGTTGGGCAATGTTTAAAGAGTCTTTAAACAGTCACTTCTAGATGAAAAATCTGAAGCTCAAATTGCTGGAAAAAAATGTGTTAAATTTGATTGGGAAATGCAGTGTTGAGCTGTGAGGGACAAAGGAAACCAGTCCTTCAAAAGCTGTGGTTTGTAGCTTCCTGTGGGTGTCACTTGGTCAGGATTTGCTGGTGGGGTTGGAGGAGAAGCAGGGCATGTAGGCAGTGGAGGTTTTTCTGAGGGGAGAACTGGTCAGGGCTGCCGTGGTTGAAGCTGGAGCTCCTTGCTGCTGGTGGAGATGTTCCCTTTGCCTGTCCTCTTCATCTAACACAGCGTTGTTTTGGGATGTAATGTCCAGTGGTCCCAGTCACAACCAGGATCCTTGGAACAGAAGGTGAAACAAGCTCTGGCTTTCCATGCCAGGTGCAGCTGACACGTTTACTTCCCACTTCAGAGGCCCACAGAAGGATTTTGGATCTTTCTGATGCTACATGCTCTGAAGTCAAGCTAATTGACCAGCCTCAACCTCACAGCATTCTACAGGCAGGTAGAAGCTGGGCCAAACATTTCTGGCCAAACTTGTGTTATTTCCTTTAGCCTTTGAACTAAGGCTATGATTTCTGATGTTCATGGACTGCAGTGAACTGGTAAATCAGTTCAGTTAACACCACTGATCTTAGAAGAGTGTCCAGGATCTGCAGGTAGCCTTGTAAAATACAGTTGTCTGTAAAAGGCATCCAGATGTACCATTATTCCTAAGTAGATCTGAACAGAAATTTTCCATCAGCTCCTCCCAGAGCTCTCTGACCTTCTCCTCACTGTTAGGGGGAAGTGACACCTCTCCTTTGTCCAGATTGTGTTTCACAGGGTCCACATCCTTCAGAGCTGATTTGTACACTCAGCTTGCCCTGGCACTGGTGCTGTGGTTTGTTCCTTTGCAGAAAATGGGTTTGGTTCAGGTTTTAGAAACTGAACCTCTCTGCTGAAAGTTCTCAAATTGCTGTTCCTGTCAGAGCACCCAGCCTTTTCACTGGGACTTGAGCAACAAGGGCTAAATTAAAACCAGTTTTCTTTTGGGGGTGGAATGGCATTTGGGCTGTTTGTCAGGTAGCAAACACTGCAGAGATGCTTGAAATGTGGTGGATTTTTGGTAAACCATATAAAAATTCAATGTTAACATAGGGACCTGTGTAGGAATGTCCATCTGAGTGGCAAGATCTGTGTCATTTCAGGGCCTTATCACTTCATTTTTATTCCTTTTCAGTTTGTATTAAATGTCACTGCTTTCTTCTGGTTTAATCCCTGTTGAGTGAAGTTGATAAAAGTCTGGTGTTCCAAGAGGAGGAGGGATGGCAGAGATGTGCTTTAGGTGGGTGAAGTGCAAAGTCGCTGTCCTTAAGGACTGGCTGTGCCTTGTCTGGCTGTTCCCATAGGCTCAGATCCAGCCTCTGCTCCCTCTCACCTTTCCTATTTATTCATTTTCACAAGTGATTTTCTATAAAGGGAGCAGCTCCTGTTTCAAAGACAACAAAAGCTGATGCTGAGCCCTGTGCTGGCTGTGTTGTTGAAGTACCCACAGGCCTGTGTGGGTTTGGAGCTGGGGAGGTTAATGGATGCCCTTTCTGTGATGACTTTTATTCCTGTCTCCTCTTGTTGGGGGGATGCTTGGTGTCTGTGCACTCCCAACAAACAGAGCCATATGTATTTACACACACAGGGGTTTAGTCAGACACTGCTGCACCTGACAGCAGGGCCTCAACCTGCCTCGAGTTATCCACTGTGTTCCGTGGGCACCTGGTGAGTGAGGACAGAAATTGGGGATTTGGTCACTGTCTGATGGCTGGGAGTGTCTGCAGTGCAGAGCTTGTGAAAGGGTGCCCAGATTGAAGGTGTAGAACTGAAACTGTGGAGCAGGGGATGAGGTATTATTTTATAGACCAGGTTTATATGAAGAGCATCTGGGTAAAACTCAACTCAGAGACAGCAGGACTTCAGGACAGATGACTTTTTAAGAATGAGGCTGTTTTCTGGAACTGGAGAACATCCAGTTTGTAAGGGACAGCTTTTCACAATGGTCACTTTCTTCAATAATGGCAACTTCACATGGGAGGAGGGAGAGGATTAATTTGGAAGTTTTCAGCTCACTGTGCTGGGAGGGACCAAACTCAAGGAAACCTCTGATCTATATACACAACTGCTGCATTTTTTATAAATATATGTAAATGTCCTATTGTAATATTTGATCCTGGAAATAAAACAAACTGTTTTCAGTAGCTTTCTTCAGCTCTTGGTTTTTTGGGGTTGGGGTTTATTTGTTGGTTTAGTTCTAATAGATGTCTGTCCCTGTGTTATATTGGGGAGTTGCTGAGTTTTTCCTTAAGGATACTGCAGTAGAAGGATAAGGAGCTGTTGATGACAGCACTGCCCAAGAAAGCTTCAGGCTGTTTTATCTTGAATTGACACAAACTTGATAGGAAAAATACCTGGATGAAAACTGAGGTGGAGGCTGGTTTGGCACTGAATGGTTCCTTCCCACCAATTCAGGCTCACCTCAGTCTCTTTGGCTCTCCTTGAAGCCAAACCACTCTTGAAACCCAGCCTGCTCTGCAGTTTCCCCAGCCCCAAAGGAGTCTGAGGAAGCAAAGGGCCGGGGAGCAGGGAAGTGAAGGTGCCTCTTAAGCTGTGAGGAACCAGCAGAAGGACCTTGCCAAGCTGGAATTCAGCTGGAATTGTAGGTGGAACCACGTTTGGCTGCACCAGGACTGGGTGACTTTGGCAGGAAGTTCCTTGCCCGTAATTGCTGTGCTGACACTTTCACAGTTGAAATATGATGTGAGAAAGGCAAGCACACAGCTCCTCATGTGCAGGGCTAAAATGAGCCTTCTATTATGATTATTCTTATAAGGAAAAGATCAGCAATCCAGGAAAGAGAGTGTCACCAGGATGCTTCACGCTTCCTGGCGTGGGGTTTTCTGTGGGAGATGATGGAGCAGGTCATGTGTGTGGTGGGAACCTCAGATTGTTGTGACGTAGGAAAGGCACAAGATGAGGTTGCAAAACATTTTCTTCCAGCAGAGTGAAAAATGGGTTCCCCTCTTTCTAAGTAATAAAAGAGAGGAAGGAAAACTTGGACTCTGCTTATCCTGCATGCATTGTCTGTCTTCATTGTAGAGACTGATTTGTCTTATTTAAGATGAAATACCCTGAGATGAATTCAGGTGCTTGAGCAGTGCTAAGGATGCCAAGGTCTCAGGCTCAATCCCTGCGTGGGACACTCACCTCAGAGCTGGACTCCATGATCCTGGTGGATCCCTACCCCCTCAGACTGTTCTGGGATTCTGTGACTAAAATGGGAATTCCTCTCCTGCTGCCGACTCTGATTTTCCTTTCAGAAGGACTGTCAGAGAATCCGTTCCTCAGTTTATTTTTGCTAGAGGAATGGAATTACCTGCTGTAACTTGGCCTCACCCATTCATCTTTTCCCATGTGGCTCTTGGAGGGCTCTCAAAACTCTTCTTTGAGAAGGTTCTTCCTTCTGCCTGCACAGCCCATGACCCATTCTCCTCTTTGCTTGTGCCACTTGCAACTCCTCTGCCAACAAACCTGCCCCATTTTTACCATTTTTGGTGCTACAGCTTCCCTGACTCCAGTTCTCAGACACAGAGGCCATTCATATGCTCCTGATCCTGTTCCTGACCTTCTCTGTGGGAACTGAAGTTTCCCTGTTACACATTAACTGCCAGCCATGGCAGATAGGAAATGCTGATATCTGATGATTTATAATAATTAAAATATCTGGAAATAACCTTCCTCTCTCAATCTTATTACCAAGCATGAGATACACACGTGGTGGGGATACACTCAGCACCTGAGGAAAAGCCAGGACACCTGTGAGAAAGCAAAGGGTGGGAGGTAGGAGCCAGGTGACACATGGGAATGTTTATTCTGAAGCTTTTATTGAAGTATTAGAGAGGAAAGTATTACCCCAACATCTTCACCCCAGCTTGTTCCAGGAGCAGCAGGCTGAGGCATTTAATGCAGCTGTGGTAGAGGCCTTAAAATCTGAGTTTGTGCCTGTTTTGGTGAACTCTGCCAGAGTAAACTCTGAAATGGGGAAGAGCAAGGCAGAAGCGCAGCCACAGCGTTGGCAGGGGCTGGCTCATCCAGCCAGTCATCCTTCCTTGGGATGGGGAGATGGAGGGTGATGATCTGGTGGGCGGCCCCGGGGGAAGGAGGGGAGGGGAGCACATGCCGAGGTGTCAATAAATAGTCACCCATGGGTGATGCCTCTGGGCCAGGGCTCATCCCAGGGGTGGACGCTGCTGCTCGGTGTGAGATCACTGCAGGTAAGCTGGGAAGTGGGGGGGAGTTCCCTGGGCTTTGCTGGAATCTCTGTGCTTTTGGTCATGGATCTGTGCTGGCACAAGGGAGACCTGCTTTCACAAGGGTCCTGCTGGACACAGGACCACCTGCACTTTGGCTCTGCCTCCCCTGCACAGGGGTTTGTCTGTACTGGCCGAGGAGCTGCTGCTTGCTCAGGGGATGTTTGGAGGGGACAGCTCTCCATGGGAGCTTCCTGAGGGAAAGAGACCTCCTGCCATCCCCAGGGAGAGGGCAGCGGTGGAAGGAGAGTGCTTGGAGAGGTTGAGGGCAGGCATGCAGGAAGGCTCTGGCCAGTGAGAGCCCGGGCTGTGAGCTCAGAGGAGAAGGAGCTGTTCCAGAAGGCCGTGGGGAGGTTGGGCTCAGCAGAGGGCACTCATGGCTGCAGGAGGAAACAACCACATGCAATCCCTGGACTGCAGGCAGGACCTCACTGGGGGCAGGAGGCCCAGAGCTCCCTACCACCAAGGCAGGGAGGATGGAAATCAAGCGAGGTGGAATTCCAGGATGGGTGCAGCTGATGGTCCCCCTCGGGTGCCTGGGCTGGTGTCCCTGCACACAGGTCTCACAGCCCTGCTCCTCCATGCTCAGCCCTCCCCGGTGCCCTGCTGGGACTGGCGGGGCTGGTCCCAAGCAGACCCCGCTGGAGCGGTGTCCCCCAGCCCCTCTGGCCGTGCCAGGGCTGGGAATGCTCTTTCTCTTCCTGGAGGAACGACCACACCGTGCTGCAGCCACTTCTGCTTTGCAAAGCCAGAGCGAGCATGAAAAATCCGGCCAGAGCAAGGAACGGCCTGACCCAGGGAACCTGTGCAAAATGGGCTGCAGTCGAGCAGGAAAGGGGAAAAGGCATAAACCCAACTTGAAGCCAAAAGGACTCAGGGTGGAAAACAGCTGGGAGCCAGGACAACAGCAAACTGTGCTATTTTCAGCAGTGCCAGAGTGACCAATGCACATCCTGTGCAAGATGAGGGGCTTGTAGGTGCAGGAGAGAGGCAATTTTGGACAAGGTATCACCTGGAGATGGGCAGGTACTTTCTAGACAAACTCATAACTTAATAAGATGCCAGTGGAACTGGAGGATAGATAATAATGAGTTCTTAATTAAATTTAATTGGTTTCAGCATACTCAGACCTGTGGTAGGACTAGTGCATCAGGGATGGAATAGCTGTCAGATTTGATTGGAGACCGATGTGCTTCCACAAGACCTTGTACAAGGATTTTGCCTCTTTCCCAGCTCCCTCCTGCTGATTTTTTGCTGATAAACACTGAAAGCCAAACTGAGCTGTGGTGGGTGGTTGGCTCCCTGCAGAAACATTTTCATAGGACCTCAGACTGGCTTTTCTTGGAAGGGACCTTAAGGACCATCTTCCCCTGCCATGAGCTGGGACACATTTTGGAATAGTCAACCCTGTGGTCACACAGGTCTTGGGGTTCGGTGTGGGAGCACCATTGCCCACTTGGCAAAGAAGTATTAGAATTTCCATTGGAAATTGCCCTCAAGCAGGGGCAGTGCCACCAGGGTGAGCTGACACCCACAAACACAACCCAGCAACTCCCATCCACCCACAGCTGAGAGATGGGCTCAGGGCTCAGGGGAACCCTCGGGGCGCTGCGGGGCCGAACGCAGCCCTTTCCTCTCCTCCTCTTCCTCCCTGTTCCATGCAGGACAGCCATGTGTGTGGGGAAGTGCAGCCGGATCGTGGGTCCCTGCCTGCTGGTGCTGGCCACGCTCTCCATGGCAGCCGGAATCCTCCTGCTCTTCCCTGGTGGAGCATCCAAGTACCTGCTGGAGGGGCACATCGGCAGCCACGCCAAGGCTCTGCCGGGTGTCTGGGGAGGCGGTATCGCTGTGAGTGCTGCGGGGTGTGTGTCCTTCCCCCGGGGCTGGAGCAGGGACAGAGGGATGGGGCAGGACAATTGGCTGCCCTTTGTCCCCCCAGCTGGGTTTCTGTCCCTGCAGGTGATGCTGGCAGCGACACACATCACGGCGCTGGGGTGGCAGTGCCCCGGCTGCGGGACACGACACAACGTAAGCCAGGGCAGGGACCCACGGTGGGACATGGCAGGGATCCTCCTCTCCCCTGAGGGATGGTGACAGGTCCCCACTCTCCTGTGCTGGGTCACAGACCCGTTTCTCATGGTGCCACGGTGGGATGTGGTGGAGCCCCTCTCCCACAGCAGGTCTGAGCACTGCTCTCTGGGCCATGGCAGGGTGCCACCACCCTGGGGACAGGGCTCCAGTGACTGCTGGGATGGGATCTGCAGGTCACTGCCTCTCCCTCCTCCCCGCCCACTTCTGCCCATCCCAGTGATGGCTCTATCCTCAGCCACAGCCGGCAAGGGGAGTTTTCCCCCTTCCCAAACTCTGCTGACAACCTGCAGCCGCGCTTTGGGTCCCCTCTGACTTTCCGTGTCCCCCACGGGTGCTCCTTGCAGGCGTTCATCTCCGTGGTGCTCTCCAAGCTGGCTCTCCTGGGCGCTGCCGCCTGCTTCGTGCTCTCCGGGGTGGGACTGGCCAATGGCCCCCTCTGCTTCTACAACAGCACCGAGCTCGGCCTCAGGCACGGCGCCTTCTGGGGTTACCCCTTCCTCGATGCCACTGACCTGGGGCCTGACGCCAGGTGAGGACTGAAGCACCGCTGCTGCCTCATCAATTTAGTGCTAATTAAGTGGATTAATTAAGGTGGGTGGGTGCTTGCTGGTGGTGGTTGATGCAAGACCCTGGTAACTCAAGGAATTCTCACCTTCCATGGATTTCTACGTGGCGCTTTCCATCTTCGTCGCCCCTCCGTAACCCTGCTCATCCTCCAGTGAAGGATGGGATGTCTGGGGGACACTGGGGGTAGAAAGAAATGGGATTCTGGATTCTGGATTCGCTGCAGGCAGCATCCTGCACCTTCTCCCCTTCCTGTCACACAGGGCTGAGAACTACCTGCACAACCGGAGCACCTGGAGCATCTGCCTGGAGCCGGAGGGCATCGTGACCTGGCATGTTGTCCTGTTCTCCCTCCTGCTGCTCATCAGCGTGGCTGAGATGGTGCTGGCCTTGCTCCAGATCCTCAACGGCTGCCTCGGCTGCCTCTGTGGCTTCTGTGAGGGGAAGTAGGGCCCAGAGGGGGCAGTGCCAGGAGGCTTGGAGGAGGTGTCACCCTGGCTGTCACCGGCTGCTGGCACACGCTGCAGAGGGGGCACGGCAGGAGTTGTGATGCCAGCCCGGTGCGAGAGCTCCCGTAGGGGATGGACACCCCAAGTGTTGAAGCAGCTCGTGGGGCTGATGTTCCATGGGCTGCTCCTGTGCAGAGCCCCTGGCCTGGGTTGTGCCCCTTCCCTTGGGGCTGGCGGACATTTGGGGCTGGAAACTGGCCCCATAAGGGATGGAGGTGAGGACCCGGCTCCCAGCACCCCAGTGTGAGCCCAGCAGCTGCCTCAGCCACTCCTCATGATACTGAAATGAGGCAGAAAACCTGTTTTCTAACACAATTTGAGGCATTAGAAAGCAGGCATTCTTTATCACAGAGCTGGACACACACAGGATCTCTCCTCTGATCGAACGTGTGTTGTGAAACCCCAACAGGGGGTGTGTGTTCCATCGTGATCAGACAGATTCATTACAAGGGATTTTCTGGAGAATACATAAACATCACTTTTCCTAGAACAAATTTACATGCCTCCATCCTTTCCTGGAAGTCCTTTTTTGGTCCCAGAGGGCTGTACTCACTGAGTGCCCCAATATTGTGACCTTGCCTTGAACTTCTCTCAGGCCATGAGCTGCTGTTTCTTGTTACATAACTTTGCCACAAAAGTCATTATGTTTCTCATTACCTGTTTCTCCGCTAATTCCAGATGTGTTTAGCATCCTGTGTGCCTACTTTTACACCCTTTTATCTCACTTGCTAGTTAGTATTTAAGTTCTATTTTGCAACTTCAAGAGAGCTGAAAATTTCTGTTCTCCATGTTGTCTGTCACTTGTCAGCCTCCACCCACCCCAGTGGAAAATGAGGCATGGTGGTGTCACACACTGCAGAGCTGGACACTTCTGTTAATCAGTTCATGTTCAGAGCAGTTGAGCTGGTGTTTGTCACCTGCACAGGGCAGGAGAGGTGAAGGAGACTCAAGGTGGGGCACTCAGATGGAGTTGTGCTGGGGGAGGCAGAGCTGGAATTGAGGTGCAGCTCCCTCAGAGTTCACCCCTACACAAGTGTCAGGAGCAGCTGATGCTCATTCCCAGGAGCAGGACCTGTGCTCAGCCCCTTCCCCATAACCCTTTCAGGACCCAGTGTGGGCCTGAGCCTGCCTGTGCTGGGAGGGGCTTTGCCCCCAGACTGACAAGGGTCAGAGGAGAGCAGAGATGGCCATGGCACATTAAAAAACCAAATCCCAGACCAGACAAAACATTAACTGGGCCATTGGGGTGGTTGAACCCCAGCTGGCACCTGAGCACCACCCAGCCACTCACCCCCATCCCATGGGAGGTGGAGAGAATCGGAGGGGTAGAAGTGAGACATCTCCTGGGGCGACATAAAAACACTTTAATAATTGAAATAAAGATATAAATTGTAATGAAAAGGAAAATAACGAAGAAGAGAAAAAGAAAGAATTTAACATTATAGACCTTATTTATATAGCATAGCTATTGATAACAAGGGGAGGGAAGCCCTCGGAGCAGGGTGGTGGCACCAGGTATGGCAGAGCTGGAGCACCACATCCCCTGAGCCAGCACTGGCACACAGGGATGGCACAGGGTACCCCTGGCTGCTGTTTCTTCCCAATATCTCTTTTCAGAGGTGGCTCTTGCTTGGAGAGGAGCCTGGGGCTCGGCTGGGGGAAAAAGCCTTCCCACCCAACCAAAACAGAATTAAAAAATAGCAATAAAAATGAGATAAACCCCAGGTTGGGGGACAGTAACACACCTCTGTGCGATGTGGCCGTGCTGGATGGTGGCAGGACCCAGCCTGTGGGTTGATGCTCCAGGATCCAGCTCTGAGGGGGTGAGAGGAGCTGACCTGGGCGGGCTCTAGGAGATGAAGCAGCTCCTTCGCCTCCTCCTGCCCGCGTGGCGCGTGGCGGCGCGGCCCCGCCGGGGAGCAGCAGCTGTCAGGGGGATGTTCTGGAGCACGTCGTGCAGCGTGAACATGCTGAAGGAGATCTGCTCATAGGGAGACCTCATCCCGTTCTCGTAGAGGCAGGCGAAGGTGATGGCCGTGCCGCCGGCCACCGGGGCGTCCCTGTAGGGCAGCTCCATGTAAGCCAGGTCTGAGTAAGCACTTGGGCCCTCATAGATAACCCAGGGCTCTGTCCAGCTCTCTGCGTCCCTGGGGAAGGTGCTGAGGTGAACCCCCATGTTGACCCGCGACATGGAGCTGGTGGGGTGCGAGTAGAGGATCCACGTTGGTGCTTGGAAGAAGGGAGTGGGGGTTGCTGCACAGTCCCCCTGGACGGAGGTGACGCTGTGGGCATCACCATGGTGCCCTGGGGTAGGACAGTGCTCATCTGGCTCACGGTGGTTGCCAGTGGGCGGCTCAGCACCTCCTGCCTGTCGGGTGGGCAGGTGCCCAAACCCCCGGAGCGCCCCAGGGAGCAGCCGGTGAGCCAAGCCCCGGAGGGGCCTCACGGTGTCCCGGGAGGCGCTGGGGATGTACACGAATGGTGCGGGAAAGCCAATGACACTGCCGTGACAGCCGTGGGGGGGCTCCACCAGCCGCTGCACCAGCTGCCCCCCGTGGAACACGGCCCCATCATCCGTGCTGAGCGCCTGGACCCTGAAGCCCAAGGGGCTGCGGGCGTTGCAGTAGAGGACATTGGATCCATCCTCCTCATCCACTGAGACCAGCTGGCACTCGCCCGTCTGCAGGTTGGGGATGAACTCCCCAAAGCGCCAACCGCGGCCATGGTCATCGCTGTAGAAGGCGAAGGAGTGCGGGGTGGTCTTGCAGAGCTGCCCAAAGCACTCCTTGCAGTCGATGTGGTAACTGTAGGCAGGCACCAGCAGCCGGCCAGAACGCAGCTGGATCCCATGGCCAGGGCCCAGCGCGAACGTTGCCCAGTCTGGGGAGCAGAGATGGGATGGGGGGAAGGTGGGATGGAGTAAAGAGTGACCACCATGGTGCCCTGCCATGCCCAGTGTGGAAGGGCCCCCTCGGCTTCCTCTCAGTCCAAGTGGTGGGGTGGGAGGGCAGCAGAGCCCAGTGCTGCCAGGTTGTTCTCACACATGCTCCTACCCATGGCTATGGGGCCTCTCCATCTTCTCCTCACCCCCAGTAACTGATATGGATACTCCCTCCATCCCTCCTCCCCTCTGCTCTTCCACCTTTTTGGAAGCTTGTGGGATTCTCATGTCAAAGTTTCCCCCAGCCACCGGTGGCTCCAGGAGGCCAAAACCCAGGGCTATCCCCTGTCTGGCTGCTCTCCCCTGTCCTCAGCCCTTGCGGCTGGGTACCTTTGATGGTCGCGCCGATGACCTGCTGCGTCAGGTCTGTGGCTGTGCTCCAGCTCAGGCCCTGGTCGGCGCTGGTGACGCAGCAGAGGCGGGTGACGTTTTGGCCAGTGACAATCTGGTAGGCTTCGGGCGTCCTGCCCAGCACCGTGATGAAGAAGAGGAAGAGGGTGCCCGTGAACTCATCGTAGAGCGGGCAGGGGTTCATTGACCGATGGTGCTGCAGCGTTGCCGTCTCCAGCACGCGCATGTCTTCCCACTGCCCAGGGAGGAGGAGGAGAGGACAGAGAGGAGTAAGGACCATCCCACTTTTTTGCCCAGAACTGTGACTGCCCCATCCCTGACGTGTTCCCAGCGGGGTTGGACAGGGCTTAGAGCAACCCTGGGATAGCAGAAGGCATCCCTGCCCATGGCAAGGCATGGAACGAGATGGCCTTTGAGGTCCCTTCCAACAAAAACCAACCCATGGCCCTGTGATGCACTTCACCCATGCCTCCAGGAGCCAGGCTGTGCCACACCTAAGCCACGAGGACAGCCCCCAGTGTGTCCCCAGCCTAGCTGGGTGTGTCCCACCTCCACGTAGCTGCCGTAGATGGTGCCACGGCGCAGCACCAGCAGGTTGGCGTGGGCATCGTCGGCACTGAGCCGCTCCTCGGCAAACGCCAGCAGCTTGGCCACGCAGGGCAGGTAGAGCAGGGCGGGCACACGGTACGTGACACCGCTGGATTCCTTCTCGAAGAGCACGGTCCGGGCCGGGAAGTGCCGGGAGCCCATGGCAGCTGCAGCAGAAGGATGTGGTGGGCTGATGAAGGTGGGGGCACTGGCTGCTGGGCATGGCCAGGGGCACGGGGCTGTCCTTGGAAGGGTTTGGGGTTTAACTTGGTGGGCTTGGGTCTGGGTGACCCCCCAGGAGCAGGGGCTGAGGGGCAGGACTGGGGTGGAGAGGGGCTGGGTCACCACAGCTCAGAGGTGGGTCAGGGCACAGGGTACCATTGAGGAGGCTGACCTGGGGAGCCCAAAATAAAATTAAATAAAATTAATTTTATCTTTAGGATGCTTGTCTGGGAAATCAAGGCCAGTAAGCAAAGGGCAGGGTGAGACCTGTAGCTCCATGCTCTCTTCTGGGGAGCATTGGGAGGGTAGAGCCCACAGACGAGATGGCAGCAGCCCAGGCTGACAGGGTGAGGGACATCATCGTGACAGGGTCAGGGAGTGTTCCTGTGCCTCCAGAACCTCTAGCACAACGGACCCAGGCGGCCCCTTGCTCCCCCTCCTCTGTGGAGGGAACCTGAGATGCACAGCACAGACACGGGGGTCCCCAGCTGAACCATCCCTGTGGCAGTGGGTGAGAGCTATTCCCAAATGTCTTTCCTCCAGGGACAGGCCAGCTGTCCCCACTTACATGTCCCTACATTTCCCTGGAGGTTATCCCCACAGAAGGAGACGGGCATCCGCTCCAGGAGCTGGAGCAGACACGAGCCCCTCTCACCCGTGGTTTCATCAGGAGCTTTTGCTGCCTGAACACCCCCCGGAGAAAGCGAAGGCACTCACCGGGTGCTGCTCAGCCGGAGCGTCCGTCCCCTCTGTCCCTCGGCACCGCGGAATGAGGCCGGCTGTCGCTGTCGCTGTCGCTGTCGCTGGCTTTCCTCAGAGCCTCCCTGCCTCGCCGCCACCGCCTCCCCCGGCAGGGTCCCCCCTCCGGAGGGTCACGGGGCTCCCCCGCCGGTGCCCGGGCTAAACCGCTGAGTCAGCAGCGGCACAAAGGAGCCCTTATGGGCCCGGGCAGAGCGCAGACACCCTGCTCGGACCCCCGGCAGGATCCGTGGGGCAGGAATTGCAGCTCTTCCTGCGGGCTGGGAGGGGCTGGCCTTCCCCGTCCAGGGCATCCAGCCCATGATCAGCACAGTCCACCCTGCCATGCGCTCCCCAGCCTGGGAGCTGTGGTCCAGAGGGTCCCAGCCCTCCCAGGACCCCCAATCTTCCGTGGACCCCCAGCCCTACCAGCTTTTCCAGGATCCTCAGCCTTCTCAGGACCCCAACTCTTGCAGGACCCCCAGCATTTCCAGGATCCCCAGCCCTATCTGGACCCTTAGCACCACAGAATCTGCAAACTTCCCAGGAACCTCAGTCCTCCCAGGATGCCCAGACTTCCCAAGACCCTCACCTGCACACAGATCAGCTACTAAGAAAGTATTTTTATACCTATATTCCAATATCCCATTTCAGTGATCAGTTTAGCTCAAAGACAAAATTCACGTGGCAAATCACAGATCAGAAGTTCCAAGGGGAAAACCGAGGCAGAGGCTGCAGAACTGCCCAGCAATGGCCCCTGGGTGACCACGTGTGGCTTCACCAGTTCCACCTGGCTGCTACAAAAGCCTCCCAAACCTTGGGTTAATTTTAGTGAGGGTTCCTGTAACACTGGACCATGAAGTGCTGTTAATCTGGGTTGCTCCTGCTGGACACCTGGGCTGGTTAACCCCTGCCTCAGGTGCTAAACACAGCTGAGGAAAATCCTGGCTCTGCTTCACACCCCTCTCCCCCTGACAGCATCACTCCTGCCCCACAGCTTCAGCCCCAAGGCAACACTGCCAGCCAAGTGACCCCAGATCCATCCTCCCCCTCCTGCCATCCCAGGCCCTGCTGCTGTGGCAGTGCCAGGAAGGTTTGTGAGGATGACAGCACCAAGCCCAGTGGGTTTGGTGTCACTGCTTGTCACCCGTTCCCAACATATCTGTCAGTCCAACTTACACTGACAAAATCCCAGTGTTTTAAAGCTGAGCCAGCATCTCCTCCTGCTCAAGCTAGTCAGAGTGGGGGCAGGCACCTGGATGCACTGGTGTGCCCAAAGCTGTGCCTCACTCCATCCCCTCCTGAAGTAGTTTTAAAGCACTAGCTAAAAAAAATCACTAGAAAACTTACTCATTTCTTGCTATGAGATATGGATTAGGAGAAGGGCAAAAAAAGGCTTAAAACTAAAAAGGAATAAAGAAAGTTTATTAACAAAACTTCAAGGATAAGAAACCAGAATAAAACTTCCAGAAACCCTTTTTTTCCCTACCATCCAACCATTCCCTTGTCTAACTGACAACACAGAGACAAAACTTGGTGGTTAAAACAGTACCAACCATGTAATAGTCTTTTCATCAGTCTTTGTAGAGAAAAGAAGTTTCCTTTTGTCATTTCATGGAGAGTTCTCCACAAGAAAACAGTTCTCTCATAGATTTTCATTCCCCTAATGCCAGCCACCTGGAAAACTCTGCCATCAGGCTCCTCTTATTTCACACCACTCTGAGGTGTGTAGATCACAATTACTTCACCATCTGCTCAGCTTCATCAATGGATACCTTTGCTCAGATCTACACTTTGAAATATTTCATTCCCCCCCCCAAATACTCTTCCATGAATTAAAGGAGTTTTTTTCAGAACATTATTGTCCATCTCCATAGCCTTACCTAAAGAGTATTTCAGCTTATTAGTGCATCTCCTTAATTCTCTCACCATCTGAGGCTTGATTCTTTCCTCCACTGACTTTGATAGTTTATGTTGTCCCTTTACATGTTGATCACTTTCTCTTCCCTCTTCTCTCTCTCTGGAAAAAGGATTAAATCTGCAGGTCTCATCTGGGTGGTAGAAGAATTAAAATCTGGCTCTAGCCACGGCTAGGTATTTATGAGATTGGATTTCAGCTCGGCAGTGCTGGAAAAGCAGCAGATGCTGTTTTTCAGCCTGTGGCTGTCTGTGTGAGTCATGAGGGCGAGCAGCTGTGGCTCGCTCCAGCCCAGGGCTGGGGTCCATGGCAGAGCCCGGCCCAGGAGGAGGGAAATCCCTGCAGGCTCCATCCCCCACAGGCTTCATCCCTGACCTGGGAGCTGTGGCAGGCCCAGCCCAGCCCCATGGGCCACATGGCAGGTGCAGGGTGGGAAACGGGAGCCAGCTGGACTTCTGTTATCTTTCAAAGCCAGAAACTAAGAGAATAGAAATTCCCAGGCTTAGGTTTTAAAGGGTGGTGTTCACAGGTTGACCTCACTTTTCAATGGTCAAAACTACTATCAATTCTCAGAAATGGCCAGCTATTGGCCAGGAGAAAAAAACTCCATCAGCCTCCAGCAGCCTTAACTTCCATGGGTGTTTTCTACATTTTTTCCTTCAATGCCAACCTATCACACCTCCTAATCTGTGCTGGATTAGTTTGGCCAACACAGCCCCAAAAAAGTGTCTTCTGATAAAAGGCTTTGGGGACTCAAAGGAACATCCATGCCCAGGGACCCTTGACTGAGAGTGAGGAGCAAAACCACAAAACCTCTTCCCAGGGGAGCACCGACCTCTTCTGCACAGGACAGAGGCCCATTCACCTGGTGACATGTGAGGCACAGCTTACATGCCACTGGGCAAGGCAGCCAGCCTGCCTGGCTTTGGGCAGGATGCCACAACAAAGGCAGCTCCAGCAGCCTGTGGTGGTTAGTCCTCACTGAGTGTGGATGCTGCTGGATGGGACACCCACCATCTCTTCCTGGAGCACTGCATCCCCTTGTTACACTCCCCTCACTTCCCTCCCCCTCCCCTAAACCCTCCAAAATCAGTCAATCTGGTCTCAGCTCATTGGACTTGCTCCAGTGAGCTGTGACCAGACTGATGTAACGATGGATATCAAAAAAAATCAAATGAAGGCAAATGATCACGCTCATGATTAATGATTAAGAGGATGGAATGTCTTGGCCAGCTGCAGCCAGCCCGGCTTTCTCCAGGCAGGAGCAGGTAGGCGGGATCACCCAGGATCTGGTCAACGCAGAGCCTTTGGCTCAAGGTCTGCAAAAAGAGATCAACCACCAACTTGGTGACCCCAAACAAAGCCCCCACTGTCTCTCTCTCATGTACAAGAGTCCTGTGGGTCAGTTCTGAGTCAGACAGGGGGTGATGCAGAACAGTGGAAGCCACAGTGGGTTGCCACATGTCCTAGTTGGACACTGGGGCCCGCACCTTCTCCTGGACACTGGTCCACAGCAATGGCAATCCCATCTTTTTCCTCTTATGTGGGTGTTGGACAGAATAAAGGTAGGACATGTACTGGAGCTCTGGTATGACCATTTTCTGGCAGGTTCTCAGAGTCCTGTTGTCCAGGTCTTGTTTGAGGTTGTAACCCAGGATATTTGCAGCCCCTGACTGGAAAGGCAGGAGAGCTTTATTCCTGATGTGATCCTTCCTCACTGCCTCCTGCTCTGAGAGACAAGTCTCCATGAGCTCCTTCTGTCTGGTCCGCAGGAGATCCACCTCCTTTTCCAGCACCTCGAGCCCTATGGTCTCCTCAATTCTTCTCCAGAAGCTCTGGTTGAAGTGCAGGTAGAGCTTCCAGTCCAGCGAGCACCACGCTTTTATCTGCTCCTCACTTTCTGGAGTCAATGTCTGAACAGTTTCCTGGCTTCTGGCATTGAGCTTGAAGTAAATCACATCATCCAGATCCCAGCACAAAGTATTCTTCAAGAGGATCATGGACTCATCAAAGTAGTCTGCTATCAAAATGAGGTGGAAATTCTGCTCTATCTCCTCCAGGACGGCCTGGATGTACTTTGTGTCATCCTCCGCGTTGTTATTGTAGCCAAAGTCAAACCACATGATATTCTTGGCATAGATGTTTGCCCTGTAATCTGCTGGGTGGTAATACTTTGTGGGTGATGCCAGGAACTCATTCACGTTCTTGGTGTTCTTGAAGGCAGGCACAATGCTCTTGTAGTAGATGTAGGAAGACTCCAGCAGACGAATGGGGTTCCTCAGGATGGAGAAGTAGAAGGTATTGGCTGCCATCACCTTTTTTACCTATTTGTGGGAGGAAGAAGAGGTTAGTCCTGTCCCAGCCAAGTTTCTCCTCAGGCATAGTGGTTCTTTCTTACCTCCAAGGGGTTAAACCGCAGGTGGTTGCACATGATGTTGTAATTTTGGCCTATGGTTTCAAAACCCTCCACAAACTGGGCCACAAAAGTCCTTGGGTATCCCAGGTGGTAGAGTTGGTCGGCTGGGAGGGCGACAGTGAGGTTGTACCTCTCTGCAAACCTGAACATGATGTTGAGCACAGTGCTGCTGGCAGTCTTGTGGGTTTTGAGGAACATGACGTTTGTCTTGGCGTGGCACGACGTGGGAGGGATCAGCAGCTCCTCGTGGCTCTTTGAGAATCTGCAGGAAGGCGACAGATGGGGCCAAGAGACTCTCTGGTGCTGCACCCCATCTCTGAGACCTGGCAAAGTCAAACCCAAGTGCTCCTCTGACACCACATCTGCAGCTGGTACAAGACTGCATCCAAATCAGCCCCAACCCTCCTGTGTAGGTGTTTTCCCCCTCCAGTTTTCTCCCTCTCCAAATTCTCACTTACCAAATACTTCAGCTCAATCCCCTTTTCCCACAAGGCTGATTTTATCCCAAAGAGGCTGTGCTTTGGCTAATTTGATTCCTTCCCCAAACATGGATCTAGGACCCAGTTTTGGGCCACTGCCCTTTCAGCATTAGCCCAAGTGTCATGATAAATAACTAAGGTGTCACAAGTCATGTCCCAGCTGCTCCAGGCACAGGAAACTGTGCAACCTTGCTTCTGTCTCACTTACCTGTAATTCTTATTCTTCATATGCAAGAATGCCGAGAGGGAGGTAAGTCCCAGGAAGAGACTGAAAACTATGAGACACCTGACATGCCTGGAAAAATAGAAGAGTTTCAGTGGATTTTTATCCAATAGTCCTTCCTCAAACCACCACATATTGCATCTTGCCCTTGGCAACTTTAATCACTGTGAGCACAGTTTTATATCTCAGCTTTGGCAACCACCTTTGGACCCTGAACTGTGTCAGCAGCTCTGGCATTAAAGGCAAGAC